CCCACAAGTCGAACATTAACAATAGCAGTTAACGCTTTAAACTAGGTGGCTGAATGAAGTAAAAACCGAAAGAACTGCGGATGCTGTAAATCAGGAACAAAAACAAAGTTGCTGGAAAAGCTCAGCAGGTCTGGCAGCATCTGTGAAGGTAAAAACAAGAGTTAACGTTTCGGGTTCGTTGACCTGAAACGCTAACTTTGCTGAATGAAGTTATGGGTGTAAAAGGTTATAACGAGAAGCATGAATAGTTTGGGGAATCTTAATGTTCTGTATTCTACGAGAAATTGCATCAACAGTTTTGTTTTCCACTTTGTGCACCAAGTTATTATCACCTTAATTATTTTTATTTCACACTCTTGTCCTCTCCTTTGCAACAACTTCGACTGAACAGCTGTTCCATCGACACTGCAAGCCTCTTGTTGAAATGCTTCAATTTTTAAAAAATTAATCTATTTTTTCTAATCAACATGTTCAGAGATATTATTACACACCTTTGAGCAGGTGGGACTTGAACCTTGGCCTCCCAGTCCAGGAGTATGGACACTACTACTGCACCACAAAAGGGCTTTATAGATACTTATTGGATTTATAGGGACTTATCAAATCTTGAAGTTGGCATTTGGTAACTCCTCATCACTCTGTCTGCCAAAGATATTTTGTAATTATTGCGCGTAGTCACCAACCCCACTTCCCATCATTTGGGCTGTAGATCTACTATCATCTTTTAAAAGGACTATATTCCTACCTGTAGAGAAAAAGGCTTGAGGGAATGGATTGATCCTTGCATAAAATGGCAGATTAGCAGGATTTATGCTGAAAGCTGAATATACGTGCAGAGACTTTAGATAAAATTGGATTGATGGATAGACTGACTATTTTGTATTGTCTGCATGATGCAATATATTGTACCATGACTTAAGCACTCCACTGTCCAAAGATGTTGTCATGAGAGCCCTGTTTAGTGGACCATACCATGACACCATGTGTAGGCTGCTCACATGAGTCTGTATGTCAGATTCACACTTTGTCTTCAGTTTTATAGTTGTTCCAGATATGAAGTTTGTGTGATTATGTTTCAGACTGCCTCTTCAATTTTGTACTGTATTATCTATGACCTGTTCTGAATCCAGCCTAGCAACATGTTGGGTTGTTTGGTTCCTCGTGGGTAATGGGGGCCCAGGTTGTTTTGCTGAGAAGAAGGTGCAAGATATTCTCACCTGTGGGTAATAGCAAGGGCATCTGCCATGACTTTGGCTAGACTGTTACTCTCTAGGCTTCACAGAGGGACGTTAGGAATATCATACTTAATAAATGATTATACTTTAAACTGTCTATTTCATTACAGATAGAATGGAATTGGGGATTTAGAAAATAAGTCAGTGTCAAGTTAGCTAAGAGAGACAGGGAGCCGGTCCCTGTTATTTAGTGTGCTAAATGCAAGTGGAGCTTGTACTCAGATTAACAGATTTAAATTAATGTGGACTAAAACTAAGATGGAAGATTAGAGGCAGAATCTCCAGTGTAACCCTCATCTTGGAAGTCAAAAGGAGAAAGGACAGGAAACCCATGAAGAGTAGCTTTGAACAAGTTTCTGAAGAAGGAAGGATCCAGTTAAGGGAGAGGGTAAATAGATGGGAATTTTTGTTCTGTCTTTAAAGTTAAGTGGGGAATCTTTTCTGTAGTTTAAAGCATATAGTTTGTAAGTTACCTATGAAAGCAGCATTTAGTAAAACTTGAAATTTTGTTAAGCGCTCCTTTCAGTCAGTCACATTTTTTAAAAAAAAGTTATCGGTCTCTACAAACATTATAATACAGCCTTAAAAGCGCATGATTGATCATGAAGCTGTACGGCCTTGAGTTTGGTGACATGACAAATTATTGTTTCAGGAATTCAGAGAAAAGAAATTCTAATATTTCTGCTTAATATCTCAAGTCGCAAATTTAATTGTTGTGAAGCATGATGTAGACTTTCTGTTACACTTAGTCTCTGATGTTTGGTTTCAATCTGTGTGAAAATCTTAGTCTGTCAGAGCAAACCATTACTTAATAATTGCTAATGACAAAAGTATATTGTACAGTCATAGTCATACAACATGGAAACAGACCCTTCGGTCCAATCAGTCCATGCTGACCGTAATCTCAAATTAACTAGTCCCACCTGGATGTACTTGGCCCTCCAAACATTTCTTATTCATGTAGTTATCCAAATGTCTTCAATGTTTTCTGTACCCACATCTACCACTTCCTTTGGAAGTTCATTCCACACATGAACCATTCTGTTTTAAAAAAAATTGCCCCTCATGCCTTTTTTAAATCTTTCTCCTTTCTCCTCTCTCCTTAAAAATATGCCCCCTAGTCTTGAAAGCCCCACCTGAAGGAAAGACACCTGCCATTCACCTTATCTATATCTCTCATTATTTTATAAACCTCTATAAGGTCGCCTCTCAACCTTCTACACTCCAGTGAAAAAAGTCCCAGCCTATCCAGTATTTCTTTATAACTCAAACTCTCCATTACTGGCAACACCCTGCTGAATCTCTTCTGATCCTCCTCCAGCTGAATAATATCCTTCCTATAACAGGGAGACCAGAACTGGCCACAGTACTCCAGAAGAGGCCTCACCAATGTCCTGTACAACCTCAACATAATGTCCCAACTCCTATACTCAATGGTCTGAGCAATGAAAGCAAGCATGCTAAATGCCTTCTTAACTGCCCTGTCTACATGTAATGCAAACATCAAAGAATTCTGTACCTGAAACCCTAGGTCTCTCTGTTCTACAACACTACCCAAGGCCCTACTTTTAATTGTGTTAGTCTTCCCTTCGTTTGTTTTACCAAAATGCAGTGTTGTGTATTGGAGTACCACTGAATTAAAGGGACCTATTCCTTATTATCCACTCTGTCACACAGGGCTAAATACCTGGTCTAGGCTAGTTGAATTCTGCTGCTAGTACAGGTCCTATTTTTGTGAATCTGCAAGTGGTTATCTAAGACCTTCATTGACAGAGGCATCACGGAGACGTGAACCAAATAACCAGGACAAAGGATAGAATCCCTACTGTGTGGAAACAAGTCCACACCAACCCTTGACGCATTCCACCCAGACCCATTCCCGTATAACCCACCTAATCTACACATCCCTGAACACTACAGGCAATTTAGCATGGCCAATCCACCTAGCATGCACGTCTTTGGACTGTGAGAGAAAACCAGAGCACCTGGAGGAAACCCACGCAGACTAGGGGAGAACGTGCAAACTCCACACAGACGTCGCCCAAGGGTGGAATCGAACTCAGGTTCCTGGAACTGTGAGGCAGTGTTGCTAACCACTGAGCCACCATGCCACCCTAAACTAGATCATCTAAACTTGATGATCATTACTCCCACTTCTTTTAAAGCAAACTGAGAGGAAGTTTGTGCCTTAATTAAGCCATTGCAGTTTATTCATTTTCATTTGAAGTCATTTAATTCAAATGATTCTATATAATTTGGTATTTTTAGCATTAAATTTCTACTTGTTTATTCAATTAAATTTTTGATGCGAAAATTGACTTTGAGCTATCAGAGGTAGACAGTACAAAGATTAACTTTGTGATTTTTACAAATGATTGCAGAACCTATTTTAGTTGAACTTTATCTTTAGGAATTTATAGATAATTTAAACTGCTGTGTTTGCAGACCAGGTCAGGTAACAAAACTATATTCAGTTTGATAAAAAGCGGATGCGTTTAGAATGTGCCCTGATCCTCATCACCCTCATCTGGTCAGTTTCTTAGAACAATAGTCTTATAGTTTCAGCATCTAAATCATATTCGCATTGACTGTGAAGAAGTGGAATATTTCCCCAGTTACATCCTGCGTCTAATTTTCTAATTTCTAATTTGTTCCTTTTTCACTTTGTCTTTTAAAGCATAGGGCTAGGTTAACATATAATATCACCATATTGGGTACGTGTTGCTGTGAGCAATGTTTATTTGTACTTTTTATTGTCTTTCTCTTTCTTTTCCCCTTCTAGCAGCACGTGCATTTTATTTTTATAGTGGAACTCTCATTATTTGCTATTGGGACCCTTCTGTCTTGGTAGTTAACATTGGGTAATCATTAAGAGTGCCCGACTTTCGTTTTAGACATAAGATACAAAAGCATTGGTATGGAAATAGAACCATCTAGGTATACGTTTGAAGAGCATATGTGACCCATGAGAACAATCAAAAACTAATCTCATTTTACAGCTCTTTTCAGAATCATTTAAAATGAGGGCTAGTGAACTTATCTTCTCTTGGGCTGAAAGTTAAATGTATATGGCATCGGATTATGTTTACCAGATTCCTAGGGCTTTCATCTAACTTGCGGCTATATTCTGTGAAATTTCTGATGAGGTAAATGCAAAGATGAACAATGCAGTTTCTAGTGAACGGATAGTAAAGTTCTTGACGAAGATTCACACTGGCGGTAATGTTTTGATTGATATTCTTCAAGAGATTCTGTCTCAGTTTCTCTCTCCACGGATGCTGCCAGATCTACTGTGTTTCTCCAGCATTCTGTGTGTTTCAGGTTTCTAGCACCCGCAGTATTTTGCCATTATTTTTCCAAGGATCACGTGAAAGTTGTTAGTTGGTGAGAATGTGGAGTGCAATGAGATTGCAGTGGTGACTTAATGGAATGAGCACCTCAATTGACAGGAAACATTTATCCCACTTGCTTTCTTTCTTGGGTAGATCCTGAAGCGCCATGCACTTAATTTAATTTCTTAGGTGATTTATCATCGGAGTTGGATGCGATTGAGGAGCAACCAAAGTGGCGCAAAATCCTTGATTTGGGGAAAAATGGAGGATTGATGTAACGGAAGCACTGTTGTAGAAGAGTTTCAACAGAACAGGTGCACCTGGGAGACTGGAACAGATTCCTTTCCTTTATGTTTTTGCTGTGATCAAAACTACCTCATTCTGGGGAGCAGTTATTAACAAGGTGTGTTCTCTTGTTTGTTTTCTATTCAAGATCTGTGAACCAAAGGAAGCTGCTGCCTAAACTAGTGTATAATCTGCTTTCTGAGCGAGATTTGCGGAAGAAGTTAAAGGAATGTGGACTGTCAACTCAGGGTACCAAAGCACAGATGGTTAAACGACACCAGACATATGTGCAGATATACAACTCGCAGTGTGACTCCTTAAACCCCAGACCAGGTGAGTAAATTGTCAGGAGTAAAACCACATTGCATGTGCATGTTCTTTTTCTATGTAAGTTTATCCTTAATGTTCATACGTATTTAAGCTGAGACATATGGAAACAACTTCCCCTCCTACCAAAGATTAGCTGATCAAATGCAAGTGAACATTAGAATTTAAAAAAAGTTAAGTTCAACTTCTGAAAATGCATGTGAACCGCAAAACATCCTGAATTGTGAAGATAATTGTGGAAAAGATCAGTTAACACTTTTTCAGAAGTCTGTCAGCCATTCACCACCTCAGTGTGTGTTCCTCCATTCATATTGGCCCCAGTTATTTTTTGGACCTGTCTATACCTGCCTGCTTCCAAGTAATGCATTTTGCGATCTGATTTCCTTTTGGCAAAGCAGTCTTGCCTAGCCCACCTTGAATTCCTAAATTGTGATCCATTCCTGCATGATGCTTCAGCTCGGTGATTAATGATCCATTTGGAAGTGTCAGCTCCTTAGCCCTTCCAGTCAGACGCTCAGAGCAGCGGGTAAACACAATAACTTATACTAATGCATTTAGCTCGCCATGGTTTTCCCGTCCATTAAACTCAAAAGTAGAGGGGATGCAGTCACAAGCTGGTGAGCACCTAAGTGGAACATCAAAACCAGTGCCTTAGAAGTTAATGGACATCATTATGTTGCATAGAAACCTTCAAGTAATTTAAGTGTATGTTGGCAAGTTGAACAAAGCTGTACTTACTCTGATTTCTTTTGAAGCTTAGTGCACTGGTTTATGTGCTAATATTATGCTCAGCCTCTTCCTTTATGGCAATTCAGCCATTCAAGCCCTATTTTGCACTTATTTTTCTTACTTGCTGCTTTATCCCTGGAGGTTTGGAAGGAGATGTTGCTTCACATTCTGGATGAGAACGCAAAGTTCTGCTAGTTTCCACAAATTGAGACAAATGCAGAACAATGGGAGGTTTTATATTTTAACTTTAAACTCTGTGTGGCTCTTAAATTTTGACTTTAAATTGAATATAAACTGATGCTTTAAAAGTGCAGTGTAAATGCTGTTGTTTGACATTTGTACACTAACCATTAGGGAGACGCATTTCTGCGCACACTGATAATCCTGCTGTCTCTGAACAGGTGTATCACAAATAAACCAAGACAGTTATGGCACCCAGCTGCCTTATGAATTGGAGAATGATTGAAATTTATGGCAGATGAGGCTGATTTGGGCATTGTGTCTGTGCCAGTTAAATAAGAAGTATCGAGCCTAATTCCAGCTCTCAGCTCTTCCTTCAATACCTTATTACTTACAGGGCTTAAGGGCATATCCAGATATCTTTTATAAAAGTGTAAATGTTTCAGTCAATAAATTCCACATTCCCATAACCCTCTAATATTTCTCCTCAACTCCTCTCTAAACCTTCTGCCATTTTCTTCATGTCTGTGTCTCCTTGTTATTAATCTCTCCACAAAGGGAGATGGATCCTTTATATCCACTCTACCTAGATCCTTAGTTATTTTAAGCACCTCATTTAAATTTTCTGTTCTTGTTCTTACCGTGAGTTAGATGTTTAATTACTTCATTTTCTGTCTGCGTAGTTCCCTGACGAGCAATATAAAAAGACATTCATGGTTTATAGGGGTCCAGCCAATTTACATGCAGAAGAGGAAAAAACAATTACCTGTGGAATTTTGCTTATTTGTGGCTGGTTTACTTAATTTGCATTTGGTGTTTCTGTGTTTACAACCAATTGGCTGACAGTTGAATATAACTCTAGAAACAATGCAAAGTATTTTGCTCATAATCTTGTTGACCTTCAAGTGAGAAATCTAAATATTTCACGTGTCTTATGGCATGTAATTTTTTTTTCCTGCTCTTCAGGTCTTGTTTTTGCTCATAGAAAGGAAAGTAAAGTGGGTCTGTAGGGGAATTAACAATTGAAACAAGAAAGCATTAAACTGCTCTACAGTTAATGCCTCTGGGTTGACAGTCCCTTTATGTCGATGTTATTTCCAACATCTATCAATCACGCAGGCATTCAGTTTATATAATTAAATACTTTGAAGGGGAGACAACATAAGAGCCTAAGAAATAGGAGCAGGAGTAGGCCAACTGGCCCATCGAGCCTGGTCCACCTTTCAATAAGATAATGGCTGATATTTTCGTGGACTCAGCTACACTTACCCACCTGCTCACCATAACCCTTAATTCCTTTACTGTTCAAAAATCTGTCTATTCTTGCCTTAAAAACATTCAACAAGGTAACCTCAACTTCAATGAACAGGGAATTCCATGGATTCACAATCCTTTGGGAGAAGCAGTTCCTCCTCAACTCAGTCCTAAATCTGCTCCCCCTTATTTTGAGGCTATGCCCCCTAGTTCTAGTTTCACTTACCAATAGAAACAATCTCCTTGCTTCTCTCTTATCCGTTCCCTTCATAATTTTGTATGTTTCTATAAGAACCCCTCCATTCTTCTAAATTCCAATGAGGATAGTCCCAGTCTATGCAGTCTGTCCTCATAAGCTGACCCTCTCAACTGCAGAATCAACCTTGTGAACCTCCTCTGCACCCCTCGAGTGCGAGTGCATTCTTTCTCTAGTATGGAGACCAAGACTGTACACTGTACTCCAGGTGTGGCCTCACTACTTTATACAGCTGCGGCATAAAGCCCCTGTGTTTAAACCAGAATGCCCTTATGGGGCTAGTGTAGAAATTCAGGATTACTTTGGCCTCCATCCAGGGTAAGAACTGAACCAGCTCCTAGATCAAGCAGTCTTTTAATGACATATTTGATGAGATTTTAAAGTGAGGTCCTGCCTGCCCCCTCAGATGGATGTAAAAGATCTTGTGGCACTGTTTGAAGGTAGAGTTCTCCCCAATTATTTAGCTAATATATATATCTTGAAAGGTTCTATATAGGTGTGTTACTTCCTTTTATCAATGGAATGAGATGTGATCCAGATTATGGGACACAAGTGGAAGGCTTGTCTGTGACCATTGTTCTGAAGTGGAGGGGGCAATGCTAATTCACAAATCTGAAATTGTAAATTGCTTCATGCGTGGTTTGCACAAAAGAGGCATGTAATAAACATTGAATTTGTTCCAGCCACCAGTATCTAGTGGCTCCAATTGTAAGTGGATTGAGTTGCAAATGTGTTCCCTAAATACTAGCAAAATCTCAGAAATATCATGTAATTAAGATCGAATTTGATTTGAGACTTTTTTCAGCCCCTCTTGCAAATCAAGAGGAGAATCTCAGAGAAACATTAACCACTGAATCTTACAGCACAGAAAGAGGCCATTTGGTTCAGCATTCCTATGTACTCTTTGAAACAGCTGTCCAATTTTAATCCCTCATCCCAGGTTTTCTCATAAAGCTGCCAATTACTGCACTTCATTTGCAAGTGCAGTTGCTAATTTGTTTCACTTCATACTGATCAACAGCCTGTCTATGTCCCCTTGTAATCTGCTGTTCTGCTGCTCACTATTATCTTGTATCATCTGCAAAACTTTGAAATTTTACTCTCTGTATTCAATTCTATGTCAATTGTAAGTACCAACCACAAAACTGGCTCTAGTGGACTCCAGTGTTCAATCTGAAAAACATCTCTCATTTGCCTGCCTCAATCAATTATGTACCATGTTATCACCACCCCTTTTAATGCTTCTATTTTCCATGTTCTATTATATGATAAAGTTCATACTTACAAAATCTACTGCATGACCAACATCAACCCTCTCCATAACTTCAAAAACAGGATGAATTTTCCACTCTTTGACAGGTGTTAATCATTTTAATCCTGTTACTGCCTTAAATAAGATTAGTTAATTTAACAGATTTGGACTCAAACCTGATCTAAATGACCCTGAGAGATAGTAGGAACTGCCGATGCTGGAGAATCTGAGATAACAAGGTATAGAGCTGGATGAACACAGCAGGCCAAGCAGCATCAGAGGAGCAGGAAAGCTGAAGTTTCGGGTCTGGACCCTGCTGTGTATTTAATCATTCTGTGGCCATATTGTGAAATAAGAAGCCAGGCACCAGTCTTGTTACTTAATACTGGATTTATTTACAAGATGAAATATTGCATATCTCCCCGAACCAACACTGTGTCCTAGCAGTCTGTCTTAGTTCACGGGGGTGATTAATCAGTGCTGTTCTATCTGATCCTTAACTTTGATAATAAAATTAACTATTAACAGCTTCCCTTCTTTTTTAACATCTGGAATAAGTTTTAAAATTGAAAAAGTGATTTTCCATATTCTGAATATCACATTTTAATAGCGAGATCCTGCTGCTAGGATCTTCAGTAGTTTCTTTGGACAAACAGTAGGGAAGTCATGTTGAGGTTGTACAGAATGTTGGTGAGGCCTTTTCTGGACTACTGTGTCCAGTTCTGTTCACCCAATTATAGGAATGATATTATTAAGTTGGAGAGGGTTCAGAAGATATTTACCAGGATGTTGCTGGGTATAGAAGGTTTCAGTTAAAAAGAAAGGCTGGACAGGCTGGGATTTTTTTCTCTGGATTATAGGAGTTTGAGAGGTGACCTTATAGAAGTTTATAAAATAATGCGGGGTATAGATAGGGTTAACGGTAGTTGTCTTCCCTGTAGGATGGGGGATTTCAAGACTGGGGACACATTTTTAAGGGGAGGTACTTAAAAAAGATATGAGGGGCAATTTTTTTTACACAGAGGATGGTTCATGTGTGGAATGAACTTCCTGAGGAAGTGGTGGATGTGGGTACAATTACAATGTTTAAAAGACATTTGGATAAATACATGCATAGGAAGAGTTTAGTGATGTGGGCCAAGAGTAGGCAGGTGGGACTAGTTTAGTTTGGGATTATGGTCAGCATGGACTCGTTGGACCGAAGGGTCTGTTTCCGTGCTCTTTGATTGTATAAACCATCCTCTTTGTTAAGCAATACAACATTGTTGACTAGTGTTTACCTATTTTAGTTTGGAGATCTTTTTCTAGCATGACTAATACGAGCAAGGCGAATCC